GCTCGACTGTACTCTTAAGTGTATATCCACAAATCAACACAGCACCACAGTTTTTCTATTTTATTCACAAATCGAATACTGTAGATCTTACCTAAGAATCCTTACTCAATTAATCTGCAATCTTAAGCTGCAGTAACTTGTATCACTGTCTACCACAGCACTGAACAAATGGCACAGCGCCCAATCTTTACAAAATTAAAGTAAAACAAATTGAGTCTATAATTGTAACAAAATGGCGTAGGCCGTTGAATTTCCCAAATGCAATTGTTCTCTAGTTAGTCAGATGCATCTTCAAGTATCGAGGTTGTAGCACTTTCCCTACCCTGAGAACTTAAGCTTAAGATCAATAACGATTTTGGAAACTGTAATGTAACGATGGAAAAATACTTAAGTTCAGCAAGATTGTAGCTTAGTCCTGTTTACGTAAAGTGGCTTTTCACTTCGCAATTAATTATAATATTAGCTCATCGATACACTGAAACCATGAAAAGCTGTTTGGTTCTCTTCGTTTTAGACAGGACAGTGAGTCGTGACGCAGTATGCAACGCTGAACGGCCTCGTGGCGTGATTTTTCCGTTATCACGTGACGTCGCGAATATTTCTAACGACTTTTCCACATCCACACAACGCCAAAGACAACCAGGTGATACTAAGCTACAAATATTCTTCGTCCATCCTTTGAAGAGTTTTACTCAAAATAGCAGAGGTCCGACTGAAGAACGTTTTCGCACCTCACTGAACCAACACGTGCTCGTGAATGAATATGGACCCCAGCAGAGGTTCGTGTTAAAATGAAGCTAACTTGTTTGAACAAGTGACAGAATGAAAGTTAAAAAGATATCGTGCCCAAGAGAGATGGATGCCAAATGATTTATTCAGTCATGTCCTCGGCGACCAAACTACAATGTGGTTTGGAATGGTGTTTGACGAGACATCCCGCTTAAGCAACGTAAACGTACACTTTCCTGCAAGAGTAACAAAGTAGATACGAACTCGTAACGGCTCTATAAAATAGATTCACACTCGCTCAGCTTGTTGGGTCAAAAAAGCAGCTGCTTATAGTCTATTGGGAATTCAAATCATCTCCACTACCTTGTTCATAAAGGGAGCACAAAATTGCTTCCAACATCCAGGAGGTTCTAAAAATAGGGACTCCACTCATTCACAAAAAGCAAACATCCCAGGTGTGTGGAGGGGTATTGAAGAAAGGAAATGTTTTGAGTGAACTAGTTAGTAGGTAAGCCTTCATCTCTCTTTGTTTATCTCCACACCACCAGTTTTCCATATAGCTGCCCCTTGCAGTAATGACCTAACTCGCCACTAGTCTCCCTAGCTCTCTCACTGGTGGCTCAATGGTCGGAGCGTCGGGGCGTCGGACCGGTAGCTTCGCCTCCCGTCAAGGACTCGGATACTTTTGTGACAACTGAGTTTGCACTTCTCTTCTAGGCCTTTATTTACACAGGGTTCTCGTTCAGATTGCTACTAACCTGTCTTCTGGTGTCCTGGCTAAGTACTCTCGCTCAATCAAACCTTCTATTCTCTTCTTAATAACTTGCGGGCTCGGCATGAAACGTGCTTTCAACTGTTCCGTTACCTGAATGGAACAACAAGGACACACCGCGTGTGAGCAAAGGCATTTCTTCTCTAATGTATAGCGTAGAAACGTAGTTATTAGCAGGGGGGGATACTCCCAGAAAAATTGGGTAGGAGCGTGCGACCCGCCTCCCAAAACCTTTACCCCAAAATCTGCGATTTTCCCTACACTTTTTATGACCTGACTAAAAATTGGACACCCTATTTAAGACCTGACCCTTGAATCAATACCCTGTTTCAGACCTGTCTTTTGATAACTTAGTTCCCTAGCGCTAGTTCAGACCAATGTTCCGTTAAAGACATTGTGAAGGGCTTTTGTTAACGGTCTTATCGATAATGATGAAAAAGTAGCTTCTAAAAAGCATACCCAATACAAGCCTAGAGCGCAAAAACCAAACCCTATTTGAGACCAAAATGGCCAAAATCGATACCCTATTTCTGACCAAAACGGCTATAAACCATACCCTTTGGGGCCGCACATACCTATGTAGCCCATATAAGGGAGTACCACCGCCCTCTCCCAGTTATTAACTTGTGCCGCGTAACATCATTTTTAACAGTCCGCTGCGTTGTCCAGCGTATCGGAGTGCTAGACTCCTAGAATTCTTCCGTTAAAGCCCAGTACAAGCGTTTCTATAATTCGTTATTTCACATAACAGAAAGAACTCTGCAAATTTCTGTACAGGTCTTTCGCAGATAACTTAAATCATGCGAACATTTTTTGGACAGGGAAACTAAAACTGCTAAATACCTAGGAAGAGAATTTGACCATGATATTGCCTCAGTCATATCTTTTTATGGCTATGGTCCTGCATGTGAACTACAAACCTCTGTTGTAAACTGAGGACGTTAATGCATTTTTGAGTTAGCTAGTGACACAACAACTACTGTATATNTGCCTCAGTCATATCTTTTTATGGCTATGGTCCTGCATGTGAACTACAAACCTCTGTTGTAAACTGAGGACGTTAATGCATTTTTGAGTTAGCTAGTGACACAACAACTACTGTATATACTAACCTCGGCAACCAAAAGATTATGTGGTCTCTTCTTACGCGCCTTCATTATTCTGACAATGGCAGCTTCGATTCTGCACGCACCGCGTTAAGGACATACAGTGCTCCTGGAACTATTACATGTACAATCTTAAAGCAAGAGAAGCAACAAGTGGTAGCGGTCTAAAAACAACAAAAACAACGACAAATTAAAAAACGTTTTGGGGGAGTAATGTCGCCCGGGCACAAATTGATATTTTTTCTCTGACGAATGGCGAGTGTGCCCCAGCATTTAATTCGCCAGTACCTCAGTTATACCCCCTTCAGAGGGGAAAAACATACTGCGCAGCTTTCTGTGCATCCCTAGCCCAACATGCGGACTCAGGTAATAATGGGATTTGCAATGGTGGAAAGAACGGCGGACTGTAATAAGGTACGCGAGGATGTCGTTCGGTTGATATATTTATACTTGGGCAAGCATGACATTCTTTTCGGCCTGTTACTGTTAAGAAAATAAGTCTCCCCCTGCCTGCTGAAAGGCTCTCTTGCTTATATATTCAGTAATTTGATTATATGGATGCAATATGTAAAGTAGGTTTGCGAAAAAGAATGTCTTCGCACCGAAATGTCTTGCGTACCGAGTGAAATATAGGGTTCGGAAACCTTCTTCAGTTTAATTTTGTCCGAAATAATAAAACGCTAACCTCTATGGGCTGGGCATGCCGGAACTATATACGTGTAACAACTCTTAAAAGGATACTCATGTTTTCTGTCTTCGTCGACTTTACTTCTGGTCTCCTTTCTCTCGGGTTCCATTTCACCTTTAGCGAGAACTGTGGACAAAAACAAACGTTCAACAAAGAAGCAACAACAAAACCGGTCAGAAAATCACAGTCTAGTCATGGCTGACTTTTACCTGTTTGTATTTTGACTCTGTGTAACTTGGACGTAAATTGTTCATTCACTGAAAACACATCGGTAGTGGCTGCGAGGAGAAACAAGAGAAAAATTGTTACACTGTAACTTACACAGCACCTGATTTCAAATCGGTCTCCGTCCGATTTTGAAATTACTCGCCTGATTAGCACCTGAATTGTACTCCAATCGGTGCACTTACTATTACGATTGGAATTCCCTTTAGAGTACAAGAATTAGGCCAATTAACATATTAACCTACGTGTACAAAATTAGGTTGTGTCCTGGTGTACCGGTACACAGAGGGAATAACCATTGTACTCCTTTCTTAACGAACCTTTGTTTAACTGTTGAACATTGTTGGGTCTTTTGTATCGGTTCTTGTGAACCGGTACACGAGGACAGAACCCAAAATTATATCTCTTGTCCATTTATCTCTTCAATTATTTTCTTTTTTTAACTGTGTGCACAATTAGCTATTTAAGCTAAATACTCGGACACTTAAATGAAGTTCGTTCGTTCGTTCGTTCAAGCCACAAACATTATTGGCATTATCTTACACACACTCTCGAGTTGATAGGTTTCTGCAGTAAAAATGACGCAGCTAATAAAAAACACGCCCGATAACACAGACGTGAAAGAAATTTCCGGTCTCGGATAAGAGCTACTGAACTGAGAAGCAACTCAAAGCCTGCCAAGGGGTTTCACTGTAATGTGATCCATTTTACAGAGGTAAGGATAAGAGTTCAAATCCTCTACTCACAAATATCTCTTCCTTTTGGGTCTTTAGTAAGAACTCGTTGTGTTGCTTTTCCACACGCTAGTGATTGCAACGCTCGGTTTAAATCTCTTTCGGGAATTTCTGTATGCTGACTAATTTCCTGCAAAGTATAAATAAGACAATAGGGTGACTTTCATCTTGGAATTGTCTTAGGAAGTAATACAAATTTGAGCAGTCTCACGAACACAACTTGAACGGGATTGGACGGCCATTTCAAGCGAAGGAGAAGACTCGACCCAGACTTCCTCCACCATCACATTCCATACGGGCTTACGTGGTCAAGTAATCATACTCGTTTGTGAACATTTATCCACTCCCCGTGTTATTGAAATCAAATAATGTACTTCGGCCCCGTCCACACTACGGCGGAGAAATTCGAAAACTTTAAAGACAGCTTTATTTCTACTGTTAGGCGTACCATCCACACTAATCCGTCATGAAAACGGAGCTCTTCAAAAACGCTCTTCAGACCGGAGGAATCTGAAAACGCCGGCTTTGCGTTTTAGTGTGGATGAAAAACATTTTGAAAACGGAGCTTTTTGAAAACGATGACGTCACGATAATCACGTGATTTCCCTGGCTGAGTTTTCCTCCAAAATCACCGGTGATTGTTGCGTTTTCAAATTCTCCGGCGTAGTGTGGACGGACCCTTACTTAATACTCTATGTACACCCACCTCGTAAGTCCACCTCTCTTGAGTATTAAACAACATTAACAGACACATTTGGTACGAGGATACTTGAAATATGTGGCGACGAATTTCTGAGGGACCACCATCCTAAGAACAGATTAATAAGCAATGGGTTAAAACAGAGGACAAATCGTAGGACAAGAAGCTAATGAATGATGAAGTGCTGGTCGTGCTGCTATCAATGTGTACAATTAGGACTCAAGTATTTCATTGTTGAATGTGTGACAAGACACTTACTTTCCTGGAAGGTGGAAAGGTCGCATTGAGCTCGGCTGTTCCCTATCAACAAGAAACGAAACTCTAAATCAATTCACGACGGGAAAAGGCAAAAGAATTAAGGCTAGATCAACCAAGTACTTAAGGTGCAAGAGCACCAATTTTTGTTTTTGTGTGACCAACAACTTTTTGCGTTCTCAACGCCTCTCATGCACTCGCAACAACTGTGAACGTTTGCAAGATTGCAAGTCCATAGTATTTTTCACTTGTTTGACAGCGGATGTCAGCTCTTTCAGTGTAATCTCAGCTTGATCAATCAAGCGCCGTTGGTAATCACTGAGAGTTTAAGAAAACAGTTTCGTTCAACTCTCTTCCCTTAGGATTGAGGGTCACATCAACTGTCGTTTCTCGTTGATCTGGTTAGTGAAAAGTCTAACATAATTCACGACATATATGACAAGAAACCCTTAATTCAGTCCTGTTTGTCTTTTCACAAATAATGATTCTATATTCTAGAATATTTGCCACAAACTGACAAAATAGTTCTTACTAGTTGAGGTTGAAGGGTCAGCTGCCTTCCACTGTGACAACCTAAATAAAACCTAGAAAAAAACCATACAGTCAAACCAATACCATTACTAAACCAACGTTAATGTAATGGAATGGCGTGAAGTAAATTTTCTTGCAACATGTCTAACAGTTTTGTTGTGTCACAATTGGCAAGAGCGCAAAGACTGAATCTTTACTGGCAGCATTCTTGTTTTGCAGAGGACGGCAAAAAATGTACAAAGATTCATAACGCACGTGCACAGCTATTGTTCTACTTTTTTTTTTCCATTAAACCTTTTGTTTGGTGAGAATGTTATCAAATGGGTTAGCACTAAGCAGTAAAGAGGGTTTGGATTGATAATCTTTCTGCATTGTACAGATTATTTTACCTTTTGAAACAGTCGAAAGCGTGCTGGGCCTGAGGAGGAACTGTACATTTTGGCGAGGAAGCCTGGGTTGGCCAGAACCCTGTTGTGAGAACTCTCACCACCAAATCTACTCCCATAAGATTTATCTAAATGTCAAGAAAGTTCGTAAATCAACCTTGCAAAACACTTTTATTTTCATAACTGAACATAAAGTAATTATGCGCATACGGCATAATCCATCACAAAAATGGTCTAGAACAAAATAAAGTACATTACTTGCAAAAAGTTTTGGACTTTTAACTTTCGGACACTTGTTGTCTCATCTCGCACAAATTTCGGACAACAAGTTTGGCCACTTCGCTGAAACATAGCCAAGTAAATTAGAAAACATGAATTGGACTTGAGCAACACCAAAAGATGATAGTTTTACTGCACCCTCAAGGTTTTACTAACACACCGGCTAGAAAATAACACAAATTCTATCAAGCCGTTATGTATGTGAAGAAGTGTCTCAACTAGAGTTCACATAAAGGAAACTAAGAGCTTGAGCTACTACAAACCTTTATAATGCACTGTATATTAATTTTTCGTACGCTTAAAAATTTCGGACTCTTTGTCCAAAATTAAAATCGTCCCAATTTTTTTTCGCAAGTAATGTACTCTCCAAGATTATGTACACACAATAATTTCAGAGTTCACTTCAGGAAAATCTCCTACCCATCAATGTTTTTTTTTTATAATTAGTTTACCTGGTTGTTGGAGATGTGTTGTCTGAACTCATCATTTGTAGACTGTGATAGTGACATGTCTTTGAACATGCCTTCTAGTTTGGATGTAAATTGACAGCCACACTCGGTCTGAGAAGAGAGAAATTTACAAGTTTTGGTTATAATTGCTTCTAATGGCAATCACTGATAATCAGTAAAAATCCAGTTAAAGGCAAACCACGATAAATCATTGTAATTAGCAATCATTTGCAGTTGCACAAATAATCTATTTCGTTAACAAGGCAATTACAGCTGTCATTGTTTAAATTTTTTTAATGAGCATAACAACACCAAATGACAAACAAACAACATTGTAGATGTGAAACAAGTGTTGCAATTTTAGTTATAATGCTAATTTTGAAAGGAAATGTGCAAAACTTATTTAAAATATTTTTAAATTACACAATTTGACCAAGTACTATCAACATCATTTGAGGTTAAGTTAGTAACAGCTACATTTTAATCTTCAGGCCCTGGTTGTTTGAAAGGTTGATAATGCTATCCACCATGTAAATCACTATCCAGCGGATTGCATGGTTTTTTGTTTAACACTTAGCAATTTTTTGTTTAACATTTAGCAATTTATACTGTGGATTGCATTATCCAGTCTTTTAACGACTGGGCGTGGTCTTGTGTTAGATCACTGGCCAACCTTCAGCTTGGAGATCATATTTTTCTCTGAGTCATCCGAGATGCTCTTTCCTAAGAGAAGTCTCTTGGCCAGATGTTGCTTGTAATATCGTTCAAATACATCCTGAGAACGCAAGAGCATCGTCATTAGCACCCCTTCTACAAAGTACTACAGTTGCTCAATACTGTGTAAATAACTCACGAAAACAAAGTGTAAACACCTACATGAACTAGAGACAAACCTTGAGTTTCACAATGTTGCAGCTGTTCATGTAACTAGTTAACCTTAATTTGTAGACTAAGCCTTTTCAATTCCACAAAATGTACATTTTTAAAGTGAAGTTACAATCAAATGCTCTTAAAAGTCAACTGTGGGTGTTTTGCATGTTTTGCCATTTGTAGGTTGTTAAATCCTGCCCTGTGTATTGTATAAATGCACTGTAATGCTGTATAAAACGTTCGTTCCACATGACATTGGTAACATTTCAACAGAAGACAAATAATTAAGACACAAGTGCCCGTGGTCTCTACCCTCTGTTACCTTTTCTTGAAGAAATCTGAAAAGGACCATACATTTATCCAATACAGTTTCTACTTCTTGTTCAGAAAGCTGAAATAAATAGCAAACAAAACTATTACAGAAGGGTTTCAGTAATTTCTTTCTCTTAACACCCGTGTATGTAGCAGCAATGCATATACATGTATCATATGAATAGCTACATTTTCCTTAAGTATGAATGCGCAGTCAACAGCCCATTTCCGAGTTGCCATAAGCCTCTCCATCAAAGCGAGGCCTGGTGCACAACCATTCATATCAAAATGAGCTTAATTTGCATGTGAATGAAATCTTGTTTTCATATGAAAGGATGAGCACCGAGACTCGCTTTGCAAAAGAGGCTAGAGGTAATTTGGAAATGGCCTACTTGAAGCCAAAGTTTTCCAATTCTGTAGCTAATTTGATTTTTTTTAAAATGACCTGCTTAGAAGAGATGATATTCCACTGGCCTGGCTCAAACATGAACCTGTACTTAATCTGGAGTTCAGCACAAAAGTTACAATGAGCAAGGTCAACTCAGAATGAGTGTGAATGTGGTAAGTGAACGCACAAGATTAGTTGCAGTTTGCATTGCTCGTGCACTTTTATTAGACTGTTGCTGCAATGAGAGAGATAAAATTTTACAGATATCCCAAATAGCCTGTGTAACACTGCCTGCCTCCTGTAAAAAGGCTAAAAAGGAAAACTTAATGTTCAGCTTACCCCCTTCACTCCTTTCTTTAGCTTGTCGTCAATGAAAAGGGACAAAAATTCAGGTGATTTTCCATTGAGATTGAGAAAATGTTCAAATTCCTGTAAGTGGTGCAAAAATAGTTGATTAATTTCTTGAACAAGAAGTCAAGTTACAATCTACTATTGGTACATGTCTAGACATATTTATGGCAATGATCCAGTTACATTGATAACAACATCCCATAAATTTATGTCTTAAGTACCACCTAGTCAGAGATGATCTACCAATAAAGTTATGATCTTAATATGGATGTTATGTCACTTCATGATCATGATTTAACTCGCGGTGTTCAGCGTCAAATAAACTGGCACACAGCTGTGATGACTGTATTTGCTAGGAAGAACCTTGCCGGAGTGAGGTACAACATTAAGCATTCCCACGTAACAAGCAAAAGACCACTGAAACAGTTACAACTTACTGAAGATATCGCCTGCTTGAATAGTCTGTCATTACTGAAGGAATTGTTCAAGAAATGATCAAATCTGTCTTTTAAGTCTAGAAGACTCTGAGATAAAAACAAAACAAAAACAGTCAGTTAGGCAAAAGAACCTTGTCCAAACACATTGATCAAGACTAAACATTGATGGCAATGAAACAAAAAAGGTCTACACAAAAAATATTTGACAAATGTTGTGGGGTCAAATTCTTTTTTCATCTCGTTAACTGCCATTGCCATTTCATTTTCAGTACGTTTCAGCGCTATATAAATAAAGTATTATTATTGCAAAGTTATGAGAGTGAATTGTTAATATGGCAACTTTTCCAGAACAATATTGTTACCAGTAGAGCATTTTTCTTAGCATGAAACTATGTAGTAATATTGTCTGTTTTGTAAACTATACACGAAAAGGAATCGTGATAAAGTACACAGTCTAACCTGAATGTAGGTGATGGGATTTTTACCACTTTCCCCTTCTTCTTCAACAACAAGAGCTTTCCCTTGTTCACGCAAATATCCTCTCATACAGTCACACACTGTCTTCAACCCATCCTTAACTCTGACAAACAGACGGTACATTCTCGCCAGATCTGTAAGTAGAACAAAAGTGCAATGAATATTCAGATTGTTGATTTCCTTGGAAGTTTCTTTAAACCCTTGCTAGTTCCAAGTTAATGTCAGCAGTGATGCTAAGAGGCAATTCAAGTCAAAAAGTACTCACTCAGGTAAATTATGATTCATAATTACATTCAATGTTGAGGACCAAAACAGTTTTGGATTAGTAAAAGTAAATCATAGAATTTCAGTCATTTTGATTGTAATATACTTTTGACATCAAAATGACATTGTGGGGAAATAAAATCATCGTTAGTACCAAAGTGCAAGTTGGAAACAAACAAACCTTCTATTTTATTGTGCTTGAGCATATGAATAACACCAGAGTTCTCCATTTCAACCACTGTCTTCATGTGCTTGCGTATTAACTCCTCCTCCACAACCTGCAAGGAAAATCATTCTTTTTCAAACTAATAACTAAAAATTTTCTTCCTCTTTGCACACATGCAATGTACAAACTAGGTATCATCACTACAGCCATTTAGAAGTGAAGATGGTTACCTTTACAATAGGATCCTCAGTTGAAGGGTCCAGATAATGCTTGGCCCGTTCAGATTCTTCATTAATCCTTACTTCAACCTGACGGAAAATCATTGGAAGTCAACTCTACCTCCAAACCAATCAGAATTTACACATTAAAAACAAAACTAATTTTCCATGCTTCAAGCTTACAAACCTTCTGAATATATACTGATGCACTATTTTCTGCAAGGAACTTTTGACCTTCTAACTGTTGAGAAACAAATCAAGCAAAAAATAGTAAGTATAATTACTTGCACACAACTAGGAGCCATGTGAAGTTGAACCACACAATGACTGCAAAACGGCAAGAAATATGCGCAACAATCTCTTCTACTTCAGTCATATACATCAGGAGGTAGACAGCAACAGAGCAGTAACAACCTTGATTTTAACAAAATTGTGTTTGTAAAGGAACTACACTTTCTCCCCACGGAAAACATGCAAATGATAAAAAAGTCTGGAAAGTTGAGATCCAGTAAAAGTATATATGGCTCAGCTGCATTGCTCAGTTACTTACTGAAACCTGTCATGAGGTCATGTTCTTACTTTGTAGAATTCAGCTGATTCTTCAAGGAATGGCTTCTCAAAGTCCTCTTCATAAACACTTCTACTTTCGATACCCAATACCATAAGCATCTGACAAGCATTTCTGATGGCCATCCTTTACAATGAAAACAACAAATAAATTTTGTAATTGAATGTTGAAGAAGAGGATCAAAAATATACAGCTGTGACTTGAATGGCTGCATAACAGAACAATATTTGTTAAAGACAACAAGACGCATCTAATACAAAGGCTGGTGCACATGTAATTACTTGTCAACAACTTCTCCGTTGCGTTCTCGTCTGACCAGTGTCAGCAACGTTTGACACAAATGATCCCTTATGTTACCATGCCGCACCACCTTCAAACAGCAAAACATAACAAGAATGACTGATTGACAATGAACTTGTTGAGATGAGTAATTTTCTTACTAATTTACAGCATTAAGCACCTTGCAATCTTTCCATACTTCTGACAGAGAAACTACTTAAAATAGTTTGTCCCAGGTTTCCTCTGCAGTTTGGATAAAGAGTACTGAGCCCAACCACTCTCCCCATCAATAGCCTGACATTTCTTGGAGCCTTATGCAGCCTTCAGAGGTTAGTGTCACATTCAGACAGTTGTAAAAGTAACTCTACATTCAAGCATACTGAACCATCAGGCTTGAATTTATCTCCAGTTTCAGTGGCAAGAACGAACAGATGGGATGCCAGTCCTTCACAGTTCACCCCTTCCCCCCTTCCCCCCTCTGAAGACAATCAATTTTCTCAAACCTGTGTCTACTTTTGGATGGGAGAGGCAATTTGTAAAAGTGTCTTGCTCTGCCAGCATCACAACGCAATGAACTGGGTCATGCTCCCACCTGGATCATTCAATCCTGAGTCTAGCACACTGACCATAAGGCTACAACACCTCTCTTACATACTTGTAACGCTAGTTATTCTCATCAGCTGTTCACTTAATTATATATGGATCTTGTATGGAGAAATACCATTTTAACAACAGCATGCCCATGACCTAAAAGCTTTTGGCCACAAATATGAGCACATCAGTGGAAAATTTCAAACATTAATGGAAGTGTCAGGTGGAAACTATCAAATGAGAAATTAAGTTATTTCATGAATAACTCACCAAGTCCCTGAAAAGGATTAATCCTAAGTTGTAAACATTATCAACATCATTTTGCTGCACATATACTCTATCCTGCAAATAAAATAATAATAAAATATTCCATTAATGTAACAACGTGTTCTAGAATATTCAGTATGCATGTTGAAATGCGAAGGGGGCCAGGTTGGAATGTTCAACAAATAGAGAATACTGACTGGACTGCAGTGCTGCGTAACCAACAGCTAAGCTCACAAAGTGGACACGTGGTAATAATACGCAAATTAACGCAATTAATCCTTTGACATTTTAATACGGTTTGTGCGGGACATCTTGTTTAACAACAGATATAAATATCACTCACTGTGTATTAATCATGCAGGAAGAGGGAGAGGTTTCCCCCCACACTTATATGACCAATTTCCCAAAAGCGAAGCAAAAGACACGTGTGCACATGTGTCATACATTATACCGATTAGTGACACATAAAAACAATGACATGCTTAATATTTCTTGTAGCTTGTTGACAATTTATTGTGACAAAAGTTGTGCAAAAAGTTGTCTGGTATGAATGTTCCTTACAACATTTCTGTTGCAGTAAACAATGCACAATGCTTACTGCAAGAAAAATATTGCAAGAATGTTTGTTTTAGAAGGTATTACACTATGGAATGTCTCTTGCAAGACAAGGATCAAGAAAGATTGCCAAGTATAACAGGGGCCATGCTACACAAGTGCAAAATTAAGATATCACAATTAAATGTGTGAAGTTTTCATTTTGTTTGTAAACATACCATGTACATGAGAATATCTCTAATCATCACCATTGATGTCTGATGATCAGTCCAAGCTGCATTCAATGTATCCAGGAAATTATTGTTGAGTGAGACCACTACATCTTTGCGTATCTTAAAGAAATGAACCAACACAAAATATAATAACTTTTCAAATTGAACACTTTGTAAAATTTGTTCCATCGATGACCAGATGCTAAACTGCGATAAAGCAAGAACTGAATGTTATATTTGTACAATCACTATGTACTAACAGCTTTTCTCTCTTCAAATAAAAGATGTTCATACCTTTTCTACCAGATGTTCTGTTACAACTTGTTTGAGTCCAGAGTATAACCTCTCTCCATGCTTATGCAACACCATGGTATAAGCATTCCTGCTCAAATCAAAAGTTGCCATTAACAGGGCATCAATGACATTGTTCTCACTATTGGTGTATCCATAAAGAAAACATTTAAAATAGATTGAAGATCGTCACAGTGAGATTTGATTGTTCCCAATGCATATTAAACAAAACATTTGTGTTTCCAACTGAATTAAGTCATTTTACATGTATGTTACCTGTACAATTCTTCAAAACTCAGGCCACTGTTGTTCTTTTTCTGAATCTCCTGAATGGCATTCTTTAATAAATTCCAGATGTCTTCGACATACTTGTCATCCATAGTCATCTAATCAGGGAAAAATATTATTGTATAACCATGACATTTCACCCACTGTATCCAAAACAATTATAAAATCACTCGGGATAATAAGTTAAGACAATTCTATTTCAAGTTGTTGCACAGAATATTAGTCACTAATGAAGAACTTACTCGATTTGGAATAACTGACTGTGTCAAATGTGTTCTGTGTGGTGAAAATGACTCTATTGAACATGCATTCTTTGATTGTCAATCTCTCTTGAAATTATGTGACGAGTCTCTTCAATGGTTCAGTAGTTTACACCAAATCAATGTCAGCCTAACCCCGCTACAATGCTTTCTCAATTTACCAACACCAAACACCAATCTTTCTGATAACCAAACAAAGGATTTGCATCTTCTTCTGTTATAAAAATAACAAATAAAAAAAAAAAAATCCCTGACCTTTTCATATGGGAGTTCCCCCCCGGGGTTTCAATTGTCTAACAGGAAGTGCAGGAGTGATGGAGTGAAATTGCTTCACCACTACAATTTGGAAAATAATATTTTCCAAGGTTAAAAAGGAACACAAGAGCGAAACGGTCACTCGTTGGAAATTTCAAGATTGGCTTCAAGGCTGAAAACTGTCATTATCCATGGCCGGACCTGCAACCCATGACCTGCGACCTTTGACCTGCAAGAGAAACCTGCCGGAGGTAAAACGCAGAATGAGGGTAAAAATATTATGCAGACTGCAGACTAGGCAAGGGGTAAAATGCAGACTGTAGACTTTTTAACTGAATCGTGTTACCATTTCCACCATTGAGAGTTAACTGTAAACAGGCTAACCTGAGCATTATTTAGGCTAACTTGAGTGGTATTCAGGCTAACTGGAGGAAAATGGCTTTTCAGAGTCTCATAAAAAATAAAAATTTCCTATGGGGGAGGGGGGGCATGCCTCCAAATCTTACTCAATATCTTATATTTTAAATTGATTTTATTTAATTTTTCTATATAACATTTTGGAGTTATTTTTTT